ACCCCTGACTAAACCTAGCATTTTCTGGCTCCATCAGCTTTCACAGCCACCAGGCTCCCACAAGATACCTGCATCCCCTCCACCCCTGCCTACCCCACCTCAAGCTTGCCTCAACATGTTCCAACTCTCTTTGCTCCAGGCAACCTCATGATACCAGACTCCTGGCAGGTTTCTCTAAACCCAGGGCCTCAACTCACCCTGTGGTAAAAATACCAGAAGCCTCAGTTGACTCCTAAAGTTTCAGGTATATTTTGGGCTCTAGCTTTGCAGTGGGTCTCTGGGTGTTGGCCAGTTCTAGCAACTACAGGTGTCTCCCATAGTCCCAAGTGCCTTCTGTGGAACTAAGCTCCTATGGTTTCCTGCAAACAAGCTCCTGGACTGCAGCTGGCAATAGATTTCTAGCAAACTGCTATACCCAGGTTGCTAATTCTGACCCATGCCTACACTAGCCCTAGCGGCCCCACATTCAAGACTGACTTCCACAGACAAGTGTTCTCAGGCCAAACCACACCACTGCAACAAACACAATCCCAAGATGCCCCCACAGACCCAAGTTACAGGCTGATTTCCATGATTCTAGACTCCAGATTTACCCAAGTGCTTGGCTAATCCCTGTGGTCACAAGGTTCCAGGGCAAATTCCCAGAAATCCAGGTTCCTGGATTGTCCAAGTACCAAACCAGGCTTTACAGACCCAGATTCTGGATCTACCCAGTGATCACTGGTGCCTGTGGATCCAGAATCCCAGGCCAATCACCACAGATTAAATCACAAGTTCTTCTTCAGTAACCCCAGTATCTAGGCCCACCCTAAGGGACACAACACCAGGATAGTCCCCAGGTAATTAAGCACAAGGCCTGCTCACCTGCTGATTTAAGCACGAGAACTGGGCACCCAAGGACACCACCAAACAATTCACCCAGAATCTCTAGACAGGCTGAATGGTGAAGGGATTTACCTTCAGAAGCCAGTCTGTAAAGTCTGGAAGATATACCTGTTATCTAAAAGCACAAACACCAACAAAAGGTCACTTGGATCATGAACAATCAAGAAAATATTACACTACCAAAAGAAACCAAAAATTTGAATGATCCACCCTAAACAAATGGAGGCCTATATACCGTCTGATGAAGAGTGTAGGTTAATCCTCTTTAAAATCCCAGCAAACTATCAGAAAATACATGAAATAAGAAAACAATGCTTAAACAAAATGAGTTCAGCAAAGAAATAGGGCATATTTTTACACATCTTAGAGTTGGTGAATGCAGTTACTAAAGAATTTGATAAATAGGTTCAATAGCAGTCTCATCCAAGCAGAAGAAATAATTAATGAACTAGAAGACAGGTTATTTGAAGTTATCTAGTCAAGAAGCCAAAAATAAATAAATAACATTAAAGATAGCTGATGTGGATGGTGCACAGGTGAATTGGTGGAGGAAATTCTATGGGGGACTATACTTGAGGGGGGGGAAAACAAACATTGTTTAAAAATGAACAATGATGTAAAATACATATACATAATTTGAAAAACAAATTATGTTGTTTGTTGGTGCAGGCAGTTGAGCACAGCACTGTGAAGCTGTCTGCAGCCCCTGCAATGCAAGTTCAATCCTGGACTACCTGGGAGCAACACACATGATGTGGCAGACCGCTCCTGTCTCGCTCGCTGCTCACCTCAGCAGTGTATTTCAGTCATTCTGCCTGTTCTGTTCCCCACTCTGTCTCTGGTGAATCCTCTCACCCTCCTGCATATCTGGCCTGTACCCCCATTTTTGTATGCATGAATAAATATTTAAAAAATAAACAAAAAATAAAAATAAAAATGAAAGAAGGTACACATCATTGAAGTCCCAGAAGGAGAAGATAGGACCAAAGAAGCAGAAACCTTGTTTAAAAATAAGAACTAAGAACATTCCAAATCTGTTGAGAAATTTTGGATATCAAACTTCATGAAGCTAACAAGTCACTCCAGACTTTCAAACTGAAACTTTTTTTTCCAAGACATTATAATGAAAATGTTGAAAGCGAAAGATAAGGAATTTTAAAAACTGCAAGAGAAAAAAAGTTCTCACAAATAATGGAACCCTTGTAAGACTATGAACAGATTTATAAGCAGAAACTGCAGGAAATGAACAGGATGATATATACAATGTATTTAAGGGGGGTGGGGGGCAAACCTGCCAACAAATGGTACTTAAACCCAACAAAGTTGTCTTTCCAGAATGAAGGAGATGTTAATATTTTCCCAAGCAATTATAATGGAGGGAATATATCACCACTAGGCCTGCCTTATAAGAAATGCAAAAAGGAGGGGCCTCCCCTGGTGGCACAGCAGTTGAGCACTGGGCTGCAAAGCTGCCTGCAGCCTCCGCAGTGCCAGTTCAATCCCCGGCTGCCTGCAAGTGTCCCACATGGCACGCAGACCTCTCCTGCCCCGCCCGCTGCTCCCCTCAGCAGTGTATTTCGTCAGTCTGCCTGTTCTGTTCCCCTCTCTGACTCTGGTGAATTCTCTCACTCTCCCACACTTCTGACTGTACCCAGTGCTTGTATAAATAAATCAATAAATATTTTTTTTAAAAATGCTAAAAGGAGTTCTTCAAGATTAAATGGAAGAATGCTAATTATAACATGAAAACATAATATATAACAAACTAGTAAAGGTAGGTTTGTAGTTGAATTTAGAATATTCCTACAGTAATGTAGTAGTATATTCATCACTTAACCTATTAAATATATTTAACGACCTAAAGCATTCTTTACCCATGCACATTCTCGAGGACAGATCATATATTATGTCACAAAACAAGTCCTAGAAAATGTGTGAAGACTGAAATTATACCAAATGTCCCTTGTGACCACAATGGTAAAAAACCATAAATCTTTAACCAGAAGAATTCAGACAATGAGAGAAATGAGAGACTGATAGGTCACAAAGGACTTGTGAATCGAAAGGAAAAGATAAAGAGAAAAAGAGAATGGTAGCTATAAATATTTGAACATATTAACACATTATAATTGTGACCAAGATTGAGTCTAGTAGTAAGTGCTGTTCTTTGCATGAAGTTTTCTGACAGTAATAATAGTTTACTCTCTTGGAAGCATCTGAGGCCATAGAATATTGGACCAAATAAAGGTACCCCACTTCTGTCTCACTTATGCACACAAAGTGAGTTGTTCACCTCTCTCTCAGTACTGCCTGGTGGTGGTATACTAGACTAAATTCAATGTGCCATGCAACTTATCTTCTGACCATATTGTTGGGAGTGCCCCCCTCAACTTGGTACCATTGAGAACCTGTAATATAAAGTTGCAAAGAAAACGAAGTTTAATCAAAAGCATTGTAGGTTTCTTCTAGAGTAACATATTTCCTGTAAAATTATTTTTTGCTTCTCTTTTAGTGGCTTACATGTTTAACCAATTGATTATATTGTGCATGAAAATCAAAGTGTTTGTTTCCTAGGAGTTTACTCTTGCTATCAGTACAAAGCAAAATCGATTTGCCTGAATTAGGTTGCATTTTATTAATCTCTTAAACATGAAATTATAATGGTTCAAGGTCAATGAGATTGAAAAATATATGTTACTTAAATTACATCTAACATTTTAGAAGTGTTCCAGAAAATACTGATTATGTGTAGCAGTAGAAAAGTGTAAATGATGTCTAAATCTAGATAAAGTCAACTTCACTTTGGTTAGGGTCAATCAACAAAATAATTCCTGAGTACCTCTAGAAATAAGGTGGTCAGAGTATTTCAGAAACAAATTAGTACATTGCAGATTAGTTTATTTTAATGCAAGGAAAGATGGCATTCATTGGAAGGGTAGGCATACATAGAGTACTAGAGTAGTTCAGAGGAGAGGGATATTACTAGCTAGAACTATCTCAAACTCTTGGTCATCTTTCACACCTAGCTCAACCTTATGTAGACTATCTCATTCTTGAATTCTTTATTCATTTATTCAAAGTATTAAATTAGTTAAACAAAAAGGGCATTAGAGCTCATTCTATGCCATGGCACCCTGCATAAGCAAACCCAAATCTGGGCTGTAAATGCTGCAAGGTCATGAGACAGACAAGCAGGCTTTAAGCTGTAGCTATCAATTACTTCCTTACTTTGCATCAGCATTTTCTCTACAAAAGTCTCTAAAAAATTTAAAATTAAAGATTTTGTTATAAAGTTAAAAAAATAGTCTCTCCCTGCATGCCTCTTAGTAATTTTTGCTCTAACAAACTCTTAACATTTATGCCTCAGTTTATCTTTTTAACAAAATACATATCTGCAAAACTTGCCATGTGCCTGGCATTGTGCTAGATACACTGACAATGCAAAATAATCATTGAGTGTTCAGTCTAATGATCAGGTAATTATGTAAACAAATCCTTGTAATGCACTGTTGCAAGTGTTATGCTGAAAGTGTCCCAGATATCATGGGAAAAGACTGGGAGGTTAACAGCTCCACCTTGTGCCAGGTGCCCGGCCGCATGTGTTAGGAACTTATTAAGAAAGCTGCATTTGTTTTGATCCTGGACAACCTGAAGGTCAGATACTTGGGCAGGAAGAGAAAGGAAACCCGTCAAAGGGAATTACAAGTGTGAAGCCATGTTACAAGTTACATATTTGCATTTCAAAAGCAACTACTGTTGTCTTCAAATGTGCTTTAACACATAATTTAAATGACTCATTTATTTTTTAAGAGAGCCATTGAGCTACCTCTAAACTCCAAAAAATGACACACTTGGTCATAAACCTTCAAGAAAACAGTCAAATTATTAAAATGAAAAAGTTAAGCTAAGAGTTTAACTGACACTTGTCTATTTAAAAGTAGCTCTATTAGATTTAAGGGATGAAATAACCTATATTTTACTGCTATTAATTTTTATGGCTATTGATTCTTATGTTAAGTTTTACTTTAACAGTTCTAAGTAGGAATGTAAAAGAGAAGAGACACCTCTTGAATGAAAAGTGTGTTGATAAATAAGTTGTTTTTACCACCCCCTAGATGTGGCAGTGTTTAGAGGCCACCAGTTTCTGCTCAGGGCTTATACATATGTGGGATGTACAAACAGATCCCTGGTCACACTGCACACAGCACAGCTGCCACCAGAACATGTGGATTCTCCGAAGCTGACAGTTCTGGATTCCACGACTGTCTACATACAGTAAGTCAAAATGATGTCTCTGGTTCACACACTGGTTCATGCAAGAATTCCAGTGAGTTCAATCAAGGGAAGGGTTTATGACATAAAATTAATTTTATTGTGATTAAATGCATAGAAGTGATTAGTTCAGTGGTTCTGGGAACCTTTGATTATCACTTGCCAACTTAATTTCCATTTTGTCTTTATGCAATCAGGCCGAGCTACACATGTACACAGGTTCTGTGCAAACTTCAATAAAATAAAAACTGACCACTGATTTTTTTTTTTATGTGAAGCATTGTTTGTAATAATGTGTAATGAAAGGATAAATACAAACTAGGACTTTCTCTTTTCCTTACAGTTGCAGTCAGAAAGGAAAATTTACATATTGGTGTATTCAGATTATTTTGACCATAGAAATTCTTGTCCACTTCCTAATATTTGAGGTACAAGGTGTTTTGTAGTACTGAACTAAAATTTCATAAACCTCTCATACCCTCAATTAATACTCTCCCCATTCATCTCGCTCAGTCTCAGTTTTGTCATCTATAAAAGAGTTTGGGCTAAATAAATCATGATTTTTTTTCAAGCTGAAAGGTATTATGATTCATATCCCATTGTTTCAAGTCTAAACATTCCTCTTGGCTTCATTCCATGTGTCCTAAGCTCAACCCACATTAGTTGCCCCAAAAGATTTCTCACTACTCTAAATATTTCTCAATTTACCAAATTTCTATTTTAAGACTGCTCAGTCCCAGTGACACCTTGTAACCCTCATCTGGAATTCCTCTACTTTTCTTTAAGCCTACCACCTCCCATCCTCCTATCCAGTACAAAATCTTGTGTATTTCACTCATGTATAACCTCGTTCAACACATTGTAATAGATTATTTTAGCCCTTCCAACCCTCAGCTTCTCTGTATTCTGTAGCTGATTGTTATTAACTCTATGTTACATTGCTGGATTTTTCAGGATAATTATTTATTCTCTCCTCCTACCCCCATTTCTCATAAATTTTGAGATCTTCTGTTTCTCCCAATTTTTCTTCTGTGACTTAGGTTATTAATCAATTATTCATTTACACATGCTTTGTATACTAGCTAATTAAAATTATAAGTAACCAGAGGACAGGCATTATGTTATTTTCCTTATACCATTAAGAACAGACATTTAATAATAACTGGGTTTTTAAAAGTTCCTTCACTGAGTATTAGATGTGAATTTTACTATGTCACAAATCCAAGTTCCTATGTGTCTTTTAAAAATCCTGCACACATCTGGTTCGACTGGAATGAGTAATGATAATAATGTTCTATTTTTTCATACCAGGTGGAAGCAACTAAGAAAAGTAAATGGAATTCTGGAGTGCTGCATATTATATATTTCAAATCACACACATGATTTTATAATTTGGGATGTTATCTATAACAGTACTGAACTTTTTGAGGCTCATGTGCTGCGATATCTTTTCCCTGACAATAAACACCTCATCAAACTGGGCGTAAGTACACTTTATAGCTATCATTTTTTCTGTCATCACCTTCCTTTCCTGCTTTCCTTTACCTGGAACTTCCCCACCTCTATCCTGCCCTCTCTACCCTACCTCACTGAAAAAAAAAAAAAAAAAAAGCCAAATATCTTCACATATTGCTATTTATGCTGCAAATACATTTCATGCCCTAAATGTGAATTCTGTTTATCTAAAACCTACATATTTATTTTATATTATGCAAAATGATAGAATAACCATCTGAGTTGGTTGACTTTGCCAAATCTAATTTGGGATTATCAGAAATTATTTCTTCTTTTATTATTTGTAGAATGTCATAATTGTTGAGAGCTTTTTCTTAAATGCTTGAATTAATACCATTATTTCCCCCTGGAGTTCTTATGCATTTGCAAAACAATGTGCCCTCTGAAAATGTAGGTCTTATATTTTTAAATAAAGGTTTAAATGACCCCCAAATATTCTTGATTATCGTTATATTCTGGTTTACATTATGCTTCTATCTCAAAAGAACAGTGACTTAATAAAAGCCCTAGAATCAATGTAGTTTAGAGGTTCCTTTAGACAGACAATAGCATTTTTTAATGCAAAACAGCACTTTTACACAAAGGTCTTTTAAAAGACCTTGATATTATGGTGGAATTTATACTCAGTAGTTCCTTTTTTTTTTTTGATGAAATATAATCTTTTTTAAGTTTAATAGCACATCTGAAAATAACTGAATATAAACATGAGATTGCCCCTATTTGTTTTAAACGCACTCTTCATTTTATAGCAATACCTATATAAGGATATTTGCTTTGATAAATGCCATAGAAAATATTCTGCTCTTGATTATGAATAAATTTACATTTATGTAGACACTGTGTATGCATTCATTTTACTTAACATGCTCTTGAATGCTCTAAATATTATACCACGGGAAAATAAACTACATTCAACTATTGCTACTGTCTGACCTGGCACCACAAACAAGGGCGTCAGACGTGGTTGCCAGTCGTGCTCGGCTCTGAGTCCCAGCGCCTGGTTCAGCAGGCAGGCACCCGGCATCTCTGACTATTCAGTGATGTTACCCATGAAGTGAGAAGTATATTAATTTGATTTTCAAAAGCTAGTGCAGACATCCACACTATTTTCAAAATAGTGGTAATGTCGAAATCAAGAGAGGACTCAATTGCTTGGAAGCAACCAAAATTACACAGATAGTGTGGAGCTCTTTGTTTTTATCAGAAGAAGGCAAATGACATGAAACAAAGTTCTATTCCCAGGGCAATTTTTAGGATATGCTTTGCAGTCCATCAAAATCCAACCTCCTATGTTTTATAAGTGTGCAATGCCTTGGAAAATAAATACTGCTACATTGGGTGTTCATTCTCCTGATTTTTAACTCAGGTTTTGCCTCTAACTTTGTGTGACCATAGTAAATCACTTAACTTCACTGAGCTCTATGCTCTCCAAGACTAAAATTGGGACTTTGAATTAAATAGTTTTTAATATCTCTTTGAGCCCTAAAATTCTATGGTGCTAAAATAAAAATCACCAAATAATACTACTTGGAGCCAAGCAATATCTCTCAGCCAGTGAATAATGCCAATGCAAAAATGCCATAAAAATCTGCATGTCTTTGCCCTAACTCTTGTAAGGGAAATAAATTTGCCCACATGATTTTCAATGTCAGTGTATTTATTAGGGCAGAAAATACTTACATCTTTTTTATAAGGAAGTATCCAGCTAAAGGTTTTTTAACTTAACTCTGTTAACCAGTAAATGAAATGAACCATACCATTATAACTTCATCTTGGTTAATTGAGGGATTATTGTATATTTCACAGTTTCAATACAATAACTAGCTTTCAAGGTCATCATATTAGTGGAATAGAGATCAGGTTCTCAGCCAAATGGAGTTGCCTTTATAGATCATCTTAGTGTATTGATAAATGTTGGAAACCAACACATATGCATACAGATGGCAAAGCCTTTTATCAGGCATAAGGAGAGAGGACACTGCCTAGGGATTCAAACTATAATGACTTACTATGCATTTAGAACAGGTATGTTGCTTCATGTGGCTTCATTTTCCCTGTTGACTGGTTTATAAACACCTGAATCATAGAAAGTGCATCTTTCAAAACTCTGTTGAAAGGATCAACCAGTGCCTGGTGAAAGTGGAAGGTCAGCAAACAATTCTGGAATGAATGAGTGAACAAATGGATGAGTAAACACTAAATGCATTTATTTCATAAGGAATCTAAAAGTTCTGTTATGAGTGATATAATTTGCTATAAAATGTCAGTGTTGGGACATGGGTTGCAAACATGCTCTTTCTACTAGTGAAACAGTAGAAACAGCCTGATATGTTGCTTCATTCAACAGATAATATTGTGAAATTTAGTAGCTCCTCATAAAGATATTGAACTAGCAACTAAATAAAGAAGCAAGTAAGACCAACAAGCATTAAGATAGGTGTGGTACTTTTAATATCACTGCTAGATTTTGACCTCTTTGGAAATGATGAAGTTAACTTTTTGAAAACTCATTTGTAGCTAATGTGAAATATAGACATAAATAGAGCCATTTTAAAATCCTATTTGTTGTCTACAATCGGCCAAAAAAAAAAAAAAAAGCCTAATGGCAAAAAGTCATTTTTTCACAAACCATGGTTTGAGAATCCGGTTGGTAAGTAGACATTCTGATAAGAAAGACTGATGATTATAGACAATTGCCAGAGATTAGAATCAGTAGCTACAGATATTATCACCAAGAATAGGTTAAGTTTGTTAACACAAATTGACTCTTCTCTTTAGCCACTTACCTCATCTTCCTCTTTCTTCCCATAAAACCCCCAACTTTGACCTCTTATTGGGGCAGATTTTAGGGTTCTACCTGAAACTATGTGCCCTAAATGGCAATTCTTAATTTTAAAGAAACACTTAATTGCCTCTCATTGGTATACCTCCTCAGACTCTATCTGAAAACAGGCCACTAGAAAATATAATGCTGGTTTTCAGTCTTCCTAATAGTCATGATTTCAAAAATAATTGATATACTTGTATTAGTTACGTGTTTCATTGTATCAAAGTTGAATCTCCTGTTTGGTCAGAAATTGCTCATCATTTTAGGGTAGTATTATAACTTTGTGATTTAAAATGAAAAATGGCTGTAATTGATAAAAAGTATAAGACATGAATTAAAAGATGTTATTTTGATGACTCAGAGGCTTTCAAAGCCCTTGCCATTCCATGATGACATCCTTAATCAGTCCCACTATTTTATCTGTTTTTCCACATCAGAATTTTAAACAGCAATCTGTTGCATTGAATGTGGCTGCCTCTGTTACTGGAAATTCAAACAAAATACTGATTGGTTCACTTTCATTTAGATAATACCAGATCAAACCAATCGGAAACAACTTTAAAGAAATATATGTCCTATTGAAAGAGCTAACAAACTGCACCATTCATGAAACACTTCCAAACACTTTTGTCTACAAAAAACGTGTGGACAAAATCATTTGCAGGTAATTCTATTATTTTACTAGCCCCTTTTGTAAGTTCTGTTTCATTACAAGAAACATTCTCTCATAAACTCCATGGATACTTAAAATATTTCCTTGATCAAGTGACTAGTTTATGGATTTCTAGTTTATGAATTTCAAATGATACAACCCTGCTTTTGGAAGGACCAAAGCAGAAGTTGTCTTTGTCTATCCCAAAAGGCATCATGAATTTCTCAAAGTAAATTCTAAATTCACACTGTATTTAAAAATATACCATTATATGTCATAGAGTACAGTATGGCTTTGGGAAGAGTTAGCAGGGGGGATTTCTTAGGACATGAGTGAATAAAACAAAGGTGACATACAGACAATCAGGATTAAATTCCAGTGTGCTATGAGTTTACCAATAAGATGCTGCAACATATTCCCCCCAAGGAGAAAAAAAAATCTAGGAAATGCAAGTGGACAGATTTATCTCCCTCTGAAGACTAGAAAGAATGCTACTTTGACCCTTTTCCTTTGATATCTTAGCTGTCCCTAATGTCCTCTTTTCCTCCCAGGTTGTCTGGTGGACTTAACACATTTGCAATGTTTTCTTTGAATTATGCTATTTTCATGGTCAGGCAGTTATTTCATGCGCTAACAGCCATATATCCTAGAGTTTTATGTCAGGGTTGGGCCAAAATCTCCATTGATTCCTCTGTATTTGCAAAGATTCTGTTCTCAGGAGGTGTATGGTTTCCTTCCTACATATATATGCACATACCACAGCTGAGAATTAGAGGAAACCCAGTGTGGTTAATTAGGTCCCCAATCTTAATGCATTTTCATGCCCCGGCTGCAAGCTAACCCATCTGAAACTTGCTTAAGCTGATGAGAAATGATCCTGAAGACATGGACTGTGGTTGTATTTTTGCAAGAGGAAGTAAAACTGATCCCCATGTCTGCTGACCACATATTGTTATTTATATGTGTAATGAAGAATTGTATCTATTTGCAACAACTTTGCGGATAGTGTACTTCAATATAAGAAAATATCTTTAAAAACCAGCCTGATTCCCCTAGTTTTAGGGAAAAGAATATTGACTATTTTAGGTTATAAAAGGTCATTTTCTCAATATCAAACCTGAAAAGCAGGAGACAGGGCCAACGATTAAACGACATATTTTTATTTTTTATATTATCATTATCTTCTTTCTATGAAAATTGGCATAAAAACTTATTTTTACATTGTCCTATGATTTGGCTTCATTTTCTTACAGAATTTGGTAAAAGTTCAATGCTTTTTGAAAGATTTTTAACTTTCATTGGGTAAATTACATTTATAACTAAAGAGTTACTGAATAGAGCGAAAGTATATTTTTCAAGTATGTGTTATATAAAACCATAAATATCAAGATTTGGTAGCTAATATGACCTGGATAAACTCTGACTTATCCAGTAAATTAAGTGGCAACAATATTTTCCTAAGACTTTTATTTTGGAATTACTTGCAGTTGATGGAGTGCACAGAGGTTCTGAGCATCTCTTGTATTCATGGCTCCTTGTCAGGAAAGGAATTCCTTCTTAGGGAAGAGGGGTTTGGTGATCACCTGATGTTGTGAATCTACCTCCTCTGGCACTTGAATAAATGATCTGACCCTGTGAGCCACTGCACAGTCATTCAATAACTGCTCTATTGTCGGTTTATGACAAATGTGGTTTTATTCAATCTCATCTTGTGTTCTATATTAAATGTAAAGGTCACACTATATGAACAAAAGACAATTATGTTTCTTCCCCCTGGAAGTCCCTTGTTTTACCCTGAAATGGTCTTCACTCTCTAGGATTTTTCTCATATTGTTTGTCCACATGTGTAAGTATGTGTATGTGTGTCTAATTTGTTGTAGGAACCTTTATGTGAAACTAATCTCATCAGGGTTCACCCAGAAAATATGTCCCGGCATCGCTGAGCTCTAAGTTAGGCTCTGTACATAATTCAGACCTTCTGGGGTATTTTCTCGTTATCAGAGATGGCTATTTTATATCTTATATCTTAAAAGCAAACCGATTCAATGTCAGGCCTTAGCATTGAAACAAGTTTATTTGGAGGAGGAATTGGTAAAGGGACCCTGGTTTCAAAGAATCTGGAACTCTCACGATGAATTGTCTTTCTTCAATGCTCATCTCAACTTTAGGAACCCAGAGTGAAATGTGCTTTTCTGCATTTCCCTTCAGGCTTGCACAGGGGATGGGTGTACAGTGAGTGAGGCCAGTGAAGCCCAGACTGAGGAGAGTGAGCCCGAAGGCATGCCAGCCCCCAAGGCACACGCATATTCACCCCACTCCTTCAACATCTTCTGGACTGAGCCTGAATATCCAAATGGTAAGTGAACTCTTTTAGCCTCAAGTTAAAAAGATGATTAGCAAAGGTAAATTAATATTCTAAATGGCAGCTTATATGTGGTGCTTAATTTTTAATGATCATTTTAGCACATAAAATACCTGAGATAGTATCATTGTCTGTAGTTGGGAGATTGTGGTTTTTAGGCTAAGACACAATTTTGGTGGCTCAAAAGTGCTCCCTTTTGATAGTTTTTGTGTACTGCATCTTATTGTCTAAAGTGCTCCTGGAGAGGTGAAGAGACATCATGGTTTTCCTGAAGAATGTAGGTGTAAGATTGTATTGTATTTTCAGTGACTTTCTGCTTTTGACAGCATTTATCCGTTCTTAGAGAACTAGAAAAGTGGGAAATGCACCTACATGCTGTATTTCAACATGCTTCTGATTTAATAAGTTTATCATTTAAAAAACCACTTAATATATTACTTGTAAATATTTCAATGTGCATTTTTAAAAATTACATACATTTTCTATGCAAACACTTATACTTATTTAACTTGAAGTGGATTGCCTATTTCTAAGCAAGATGTGTAAGTTTGCAGAGTGTAGAGAATTGAGTCAGTTAAAGTTTACTAAAACAAAATCTTTTTACAAAAAGTCTTTAATAATTTAGAGTAGAAAATGCTTTATACACTTATCAGAAATATCAAGTTTCATATAACATCTTGTCATTGTTCCACACTGATCAGAGGTTACAGAACATCAAATTGTTCCTCTTAAAGACAAATATCAAGAAGACTTAAATCCGTAGAAACTGCTTCAAGTAACCCATTACTGAAAATTGAAATGCATTCTTTTAGCATAGCTAAAAAGAATGAGTAAAATACAAAAAAAATGCAGTTTTATTAGTTTGTCTTCTGTTTACTATGATATTAATTATTTTCATCATCTCATTTTAATTAAACTTTAGGCAAATGCATTCTATATATTTGAGGTAATGGAAGGAGCTCTAATAATTATAGTGAGTGATTATCTCCGCTATTTGAAGTTATTCCTCTACTATTACAAATTTCCTAATAAAAAATAAATGCATATCTATCTGATAATAACATTAAACAGTCAAAAATCTTGTCATACATCATACCCCACAAAAAAATTTTGTAGCAATGAAAATGTTAATGGGTTTATTCCAGTTGTGTTGCTGTTAAAGGTTGTGACATGCCCTTCATCCCAACTGGTCATTAGAATTGGAACTATAGCTCCACTCCCAATCCTAGACTGACTAGAGCAATATATCTAACTTTTCAAAGAATCTATTATAAATAATGCTACTTGCCATGAGTTGCCTTTGTCTGCCAAGGAGAGTCTTTAAGTACTGTTTCATTATCACTTAATTCACACCTAAGGCTGTGCTTTGTCAGACACACCCGGCTTAATTCTAGTGCCTTGCTCCACACTCCTGCAAATACCCCACTGATCCCCTGGCCCCCCAACTCTGTTTCTCTAATCAAAACTTTGCATCCACGTTCCCTCTGGCAAAGGTATGTTTTGCAGGTGGCGATTTCAGGCAGATGTCAAATCCTCTGAAAAGAGCTACTTTTTGGTCCAAGGCAGATAAGAACCATTTATTTGTAGGACCTTGGTCCTCCCTTTGTAATGCTCTGAGTTTTCGATGAGAAGCAGCACAAAGGATTACCCTCTAATGAATGTGTGACCTGTATTGTGTGTAGATCATAATAAGAATCACGCTCATGAGAGAGCTTCCAGATCTCATGAGCCACATTCCATTTCAGAGTGTAGGCTTTAAGATCTTGGGAAATGCTTTTACTTCTCTTTTGAAGTCTACCATGCTAAAATGAGCATAGTTATCTGACGACACCAAACTTTCTCTTTATTGTGTAGCATAATTTTAGTATCATTTTTGAATCAGTTAAAATACATTTTTAAATAATAACAAAAATGTTGTATATGAAAGTCTTATCCCTTATTAATTCTTATAATTTCATATAACTATCTACTACCTTTACTAACCAAATTTACCTAAAATTGTTTCCCTGTAAGACTGTGAGCTGCATTAGGGCAGGCATTCTAAGAGCCCTATTTACTGCTCTACCCTGCATGTGGCATGTGCCAGACCTGCAGTAGCAAGATGTGAAATAGCTGTTAAATGAGTTAAATGAGCTAATGTTTGGGCCTCCCTGGTGGTGCAGCAGGTTGAGCACAGCGCAGTGCTGTGGATCTGTCCGCAGCCTCTGCAGCGCAGGTTTGATTCCTGGCCGGCCAGGTAGATATCCACATGGTGCAGCAGACTTCTCCTGTCTCACCCACTGCTCCCCTCAGCAGTGTTTTTGGTCTGTCTACCTGTTCTGTTCCCCACTCTGTCTCTGGTGAATCCTCTCACCCTCCCATGCCTATGGCCTGTACCCAGTTCTTGCATAAATAAATCTTTTAAAAAAAATGAACTAATGTTTGCTGATGAGGACGGTAAAAAAAAATGGTAATTGTGTTAATGTGAGAAGCAGATGCATATGCAATCATATAATAAACATACATGTACATTTGTAGCATGTCTTAGAATTTTGTGAAATTAATAGATAATGTTGAAGGCAGTGGAAGGACATCTCCCTCTTGACCAGCTGAAGGTTCAAATCCCAGTCATTAGGAAAGGAATTCCTCAGTCTGGTAATTTGTAGCTGTTTTAAGAAGAGCTGTCACAAATGGCCAGATTCCATCATTTTTTATAGCTGAGTAGTATTCCATTGTATAGAGAGACCACATCTTCTTTATCCACTCATCTGGCAATGGATGCTAACATGTTTCCCCATCTTAAGGTTGTCTCCGTATCTATCTTGGCTCTTGTAAATATTGCCACAGTGAACATCAGGGTACATATATTTTTTGAGTTAGTGCTTTGTATTTTTTAAATAAAAACCCAGGAGTGGAATAGCTGGATCATAAGGTAATGCTAGTCTTAATTTTTTGAGTAATTCCTATACTGTTTTCCATAGTTGTTTCACTGATTTACATATTTATTACAAGTAGACTTTTGGTGGTGATCATGTTATAGAATATATACATGTCAAATTATAATATTGTATACCTGAAGTCTATTTGATGTTACAAACCATTGTAGCCCAAATAAAAATTTATTAATAAAAATTGACAATAAAAAATAAAAAGAGAGCCAATGCAGGAAGTTGGACCTGGTTTGCACACTCCAGGCACTATTGTCAGGATTTGTTTATGTCAATCCTGGTGTAGTAAAAGAAGAGCAAGTGACAAGGGTTCCATCATCTCTTGGATAGAGGAAAGGGTGTATAAGGACCTAAGGGAAACATCTTCCCAGTTCAGCCTTTGATTTGGCCTGGATTTGTGAGAATATATTTATGAACATATACCAGGATGGCAATAATGTCAGTCAGAACAGAAAACATTTAGGTGGTTGATTATTTTTGCAGACTTATACATCATACCATGAAGACAATAGACATTATTAAAAGAACATTTAATTCAGATTTTTGAGCATATATATTATTTCAGAAATGGATGGTGGAGAAATTAATTTATAGATCTTTTATAGGCATTTTGCATATGCTATCCTTCACAATAAGAGATGATAGTAAAGAATTAATTTTGATAATATATGTACACAAAGGTATATGTATAAATAATACTTAAGAATTCCCCCCATGGAAAGGAACTATTTGATTGTCTGCTAGTATTCGTAATGATGATAATGATGACGGTAATAATAATAGTTACAATTTATAATTACCAGTTACTTTATAACTAGCCATGACAGAGATATTACTATTACCACATTCAGATGTGGAAACTCTGGTTTATAAGTATTGAACAACTCAATTCTTAAGGCAAGATTACTAACTAAGGAATTCAATACAAATTGTGGATGGTTCAAAATTTCATGATTTTATTCATCATACTCTGCTACTTTTGGTAGAAATGCTCATAACTTACGGTTCCATCTAGCTGTGTGGAAAAAAGAAAACATGTAGTTACTATTTTACTTGTTCAATGTCTTATCTAGGTGCCATTATTCAGTAACTCCTAAGATCTCTGTGCTGATTTTTTTCTGGTTTTAAAGAGAAAACTTTTTTTCTTTTTCTTTTGAAATAACTTTACTTTTAAATAGTTGAAATGCAGGTCTATTTTCTGTCCTGAAATGCTCATTTTTAATACAATAAATGGGGGGAGGTACAGAATTCAGGGAATCACTTAGAAAAGCTGCTTGACAGTTCGAGCAAACCTAGTGTAACTTTTATGAAACACCTCCAATCAGTTTGTCAGGTAGAATTTCCCGAGCAGAGTCTTTTTTAGATTCTGTGGATTCCATTTTTAGGAGAGCATAACAGTAATAGGGCATCCTTCCACAATGTGAAAGCTGTTCTCTCTTTTCCCTTTTAATTGAAGGATCAAGTATTCACATAGGGAGATATCTGCCACATTCAATCATTGTCCAGACCTTGGGGGAAAACCCTCAGCCGACATCCACCTTGCCATGCTGTGCTGGAAAAAAACAAACAAATATGTTGGGAGCAGCTACATTCACTATGTGTGTGTTATTTTTTTGACACACTAAAGCATTATTGTTTAATTATTATAGTAAATACCATTCTTCAAGGTACACAGAGATACTTTGTATTAAATTTACATTGTTCTGTACTTGCATAGAATTTCCCTGGTTATAGGTGACAACCCATTGAGCACCTTAGGAAATGCAGTTTGACATAACATGATGAAGAGGCACAAAGATATATATCCCCATGGATGTACTTTATGGACAATTATGATTCAACTTCCCTGTGAAAATTAAACACCTTAAAAATTCTACCATTATGGAAAGAGAAAAGGTGATAAACTTGAAACTGCTTATTCTAGATGGCTAATGGGAATTAACTGTCTTGTGGATTATCCATTGAAGAACTGAATTTGTAGAACTGGATTAAAAAACCAAATCCCCCTTACTACAGAACATAATATTGTTTTACTTTGCTAGAGTTATCTTACTGATTACTACCACA